AAGCATTTGTAGAATACTTGGTTGAATTTATTTTAGATCATTCATCAATCATCAAAAAAGTTTGTATGGTACATTTATGTGACAGTTGGTTGTTTAATCATAGTAGATTCAAGGAATGTTTTGAGCACCTCCATGAAGTTAATGGTGGTTGCTTCTTTAACAATGAAATTTATGGACACTTGGCAAAAATTTGTCAAGATATTAAGATGGTCAATATTGTACTTGCCATCGAAGAAGCTGGAAATAACACTGTAGCAAAATTAATCAGGGTGCAACATCAACTTAAAAAAATCAAATTGATCACTGTTCAAGCCAATTTTAAATCTGATTTGCTAAAAGAGGCGGTAATTAATCATCAAGACACTATTGTTGATTACGATGTTGATGGCTTTGGCAGTTTGATTCAAGTGGTTCCATCATTCAAAAATTTAAGATCGTGGATATTGGCAATTCATTCCAATGTGGTCCAGACAACTCCAAATGCTTGAGAAATCTTGTTTTACCAAATATTGATCTATTTGCTATTTGAAGAGTTTTTAATGGACACTTGTAATTTTTTAAAATTGAATGGCAACAAATTAAAAAAATTGAAGGTTACCAGTATTCCAAATGACAAAGACAAGATGAATTATGGGCTGCTCTTTCAAACAATAGCACAACATTGTCAAAATGTAAAAGAGTTGGCAATAGTCTATGAGAATCAAATAGAAGATCAATGACTTTTGATTCAAGTATTTGAAAATTGTAGAAAATTAAGAAAGATTCATTTCAGTTCAGTTGACTACAACAATGTGAATGGTAATAAATTGTTTGACGTTTTGACAAAAACACAACTTGTGGGATTGAAAGTAATGAAATTTGACAACCTAATGACTGTTTCTAATGCATCATTCAACACCCTGAGAAGAAATTGGAAAGGAGCCACACCTTTTCTTATAAAGTTTTCAAGAGAATGGGATAATTGTATGGATACATTACAATTGGTTAAAAGATTAAAGAAATATCAAAAATTGGGATTTTTGGATTATGTGCTTAGGGATGAATTCTTCTAATTTTCGCTAATGTAAAGAATACAATATGATATTTTATTATAATGCGTGTAACAACAATACAATACTTCTTTTTTTTGACAGCTAATGAAATTGTAAATAAAATTAAATAGCAGTCTAGCCCCAGTACTTTCTGAGGTGTTACGAAAACATGTAATGTATGAACCCCTATGTATGTAACGTATGATTTTTATTTCCATACATGTATGAAAATGCAGATCATACATACATACATTTTTATTAAATTAATATAATAATATAATAAAAATGTATGTATGTATGATTTTTTTCTGCATGTATGAAAATGCAAATCATACATATGATGCAAGTCACTTAGTCCCACAACTTTTTATTGATTGTGTAGATTTTCAAATT